AAAATAATAACGGTAACTCCATTGAAATGATTCAAAACTAAAGTAACGAGACAATTTTTTTAAATGTAAGGAGTAGAAAGTACAGATATTTGAGTAAAAATGTAAGGAGTAGAAGTAAAAAGTCGGCATAAAAATAAGTAGTAAAGTAAAAAACTGATTCCACATCATCTGGTTCCCAATGTCCAAAAAGCATGATCATGGCATATGGCACAACAGCCTTTATTTGAAAACGAACAGTTAGCGGATCCACAGCAGCAGCCGCTAGGACGTCTGAGGCAGGTAACTCTGGAGAGAGGAAACACAGGTTAGTGATCACAAAAACCTGACCTGGATGGAGGATGAGGTGAGTCACTAACCTGGTTTAGAGTTCAGTCCGTGCCCAGAGAGAGAGGTTGATACCAGCCGGTCAGCTGACAAGATGCAGTGCTTGTCAAACAGAGAGTTCCAGATGTGGAGCCTTTCAGCACAGAACTGACAGGAGATCAGATCTGAGCAGATGATGGAGGAAGGCAGGATAATCTAGAGGGTGAAGTTAAGAGGCAGATCCAGCATCAATCCACAGTAGATTCCAACAGAATCAGAAGACAGGTCAAAGAAACCAATCAGAACAGGGGTAGGCAGGCTCAAAGATCTGAAGACAGAAACGGGTCAGGATCAGGCAATCAGATCACTATAAGTAACGTTAGAAAACTCTCACACCAAAGGCTCAAGAATAATCTGGCACTGACGACTGGGAGCAAGCACCTTAAATAGAGCCAGGAGCAGATGGATCAGATGAAAACCTGGGCAGAGTTAGACAGGTGAATGGAATGAGCAATTAAGCTAGCCATCATTAGCCAGCTAAAGTTACAGAATTACATAATAAAACTCAATGAAATTAACCTTTATTGTCCAACTATGGGCAAATCCAGATATTCAAGAAGTAAATGACTGAAAATTGTACAACAGGAAAAAAAAATACAGGAATCAAATTCTCTGATAAAATGAAATATGTAACTGAGTAGGACGAAATGGAAAATTATTAAATGTGCATGAAGAAAAAAGCAATAGAACATATGTATGCTGTTCCTTTAACATCAGGGATGTAAAGCCACATTGAGCTTTTTGAGAAAAAGTGATGGTTATTAAGTCTAACAGCAGCTGGGGGGAAGGATCTATAAAAATGCTGATTTACACACATAGGGGGCAGCATTCTTTCACTGAAGGAGCTCTTAAGCTCTTCAACAGTTTAATGCATGCACTGGAAGCAGGGGACATTGTAGGACAGCGGTGGCCTTTCTGATAAACTTATATAACCTCTTGCTCTTGGCTAGATGAGCTGCTGCTCCAAAGAATACGTCATAGAAGGGGGTTAATGCCACCTAAGAGTGAGAAAATGTCTTTGGGAGTGCCCCCAGGTACTGTCTGTTCTGACCCTTACTATAAAGAGCATCAGTGTTCTTATTGCAGTCCAGTTTATTGTTCAGACATACACCCATCTTAATGTGTCATTGTGGTGGGTCTGAATACTGTTATGGATCTAGAATCAGATAACTGGGGGACAATGTTAAATGCTAAAGCTTATGAAGAATGAAGAAAAAGCCTCTTCTTTCTAAACTGAATCTGGCAGTGTAATTTAGATTTTAAGAGCTCTGTCTTAATGAACACCAAGAGCCCTGGAAAAACCTCCTTACTGTACCTTTTTTTTCCCCAAAAGGCCATATACTTTAAAAAAACAAATGCAAAATCAAAAATAAACTTTAAAAGTTTCTATGTAATGAAGGCAGAAAAATAGTTCAGAGCACTGTGCTCCTTTGGCTGTTTATTTATTTATTTATTTTTTTTAAGAGCGAATCTATGACATATACCAGTTTTTACTCCCCTTGGTTGCCTCTCTGACAACAAGGAAGCTCTGTCCTTATGTCGTCAATAACAGAATATGCTGGCCAACCACCGTTTTAAGAAATTAGTCTTTGATTTAACTTTTATACTCTCATACTTTTCTGCAGGCTGTTTGCTGAATGTCGAGTCATAAATCTTACCCAAACACATGGTTGTCTTATCATCCCTAATGCTATTGTTTACTTCACTTTATATGTAACATTTGGAAAGGTGAGGCATAAGCAGCACTATTTGGATGAGTCAGTCAACATATCAGCTCTGACTCTCATACCAACTTTCGAGCGAAGTGGTGGAGGATTTGTTTTCTATCTTAAGTGTTTACCATAAATGGCTTTGTTGAAGTTTCAAATTATGCATTCAGTTTTAATTTTGGTTTTCACGCTTCTTGACAAACAAATCTCCTTAACCTATCAAAATGAAAGAGATATTTATTTTATCTAGTATTTTATTTATAAAGCAGGGATGCTATTTTGTTTTAACAAGTTTGGCTGTTTGAAATGCCAACTAACTATCTTTTATTTCTTGTTTCTTCTCTCTTATCCAGCTGTTCCTTCTGCCCCTCAACGGGTGATCTCAATGGTGAATGAAACTTCTGTTAAACTGGAGTGGAGCCCACCACTGGAGAGTGGTGGTCGAGAAGACGTTGTCTACAACATCATCTGTAAAAGCTGCGACAGCAGGCGAGGAGGCTGCACCCGCTGTGGAGACAATGTTCAGTTTGTTCCACGGCAGCTTGGGCTAACAGACACAAGTGTCCACATTAGTGACCTCCTGGCTCACACCCAGTACACCTTTGAAATTCAAGCTGTTAATGGAGTCTCTGACCAGAGTCCATATTCACCACAGTACACGTCTGCCAACATCACAACTAACCAGGCTGGTAAGGGAACATCTTTTAAAATATTGTACCCATCAAGACCCAAAGGACATGGGGTTGGGGTTGAGGGGTTAACCAAGTAATTAACACACACAAAGGCAGAATTGAACCTCTATACAGCTCACTTCAGCACAGACGTCTTCCTGTTTGTGGAACACAGCTGGATATTTGGGGTTAAATGGGGTTAAGCGGCTACTATCCTATACTATGCCATCATATGCACAGAAAGGCAATTCTATTATTTGATCAAAATGGCATATCACTGTAAAACTTTTTTACAAAATATAGGTGCATAATAATTGTGATCAGGGGATAATTATTGTTAGGAAGAACTAAGTCTATCACTACTTTAGCTGAAAATGCTCCATAGGCTTTAATACCACACTTTTAGCTTTAAGCCTTACTATGTTTTTTTCACCAAACTTGCTGGTGAGGTCATTGTGGCTTTGTAGTATGTTCTTCTAGCTTAACATCTTTTTGGTTTCTTCCCAGCACCATCAGCAGTGTCTATTATCCACCAAGTTAGCAAAACTCCCACCAGCATTACTCTGTCCTGGTCTCAACCCGATCAGCCAAACGGTGTTATCCTGGACTATGAACTGCAGTATTATGAAAAGGTATGTCAATTATGACTTGGTCAGTCTTTCCTGTTCAAATACTGTGAGGGGTTTGGGTTCTAAACAGAGAGTTTTCATGCTGAAGCCACTGTGAATTACTTATTGGTGTCTGTGTTTCAGAACTTGGCTGAATGGAACTCCTCTCTGATAAGAAGTCAGACCAACACAGCAGTCATACGGGGCTTAAAGCCTGGGACTATCTACGTCTTTCAGGTCCGAGCTCGGACCGTTGCCGGATTTGGAAGCTTTAGTGGGAAGATGTACTTCCAAACTATTACGATGGGTAAGACCTCTTCCATCCTCTGGCAGAATGTACTAAATAACCTCTGATATTTAGCTAGTTGGTTATAGGAACAAGGGTAATGTCTAGATTTCAGAAGCTTTGCAGAAACTAGATGAAGTTGTGCTGCTTTCATCAGAGGATACGAGCCAAGAACAGGCACGCATCAAACCATAACTGCCGGTGGGGTTTATATTGTAGAAGTAGCTCCAAAGTCTATTTGAGATATTTTGAGAAGTTATGAAAAAATTTTTAAAAAAAAGCTCCATTGATCCCTGTATGCAGCTAAGTAGACATCAGAAAGGTCAGAGATTTCCACAGTAGACAAAGGGAATAATATTGCCTTTGGACAGAAATTAGTACTGTGTCTTCTGCTTGGGAAGTGGAGGGCTTTTCATCTCTCTGTGTCTGTTTGATATACAATATCCAGTTGTTTCCAATAAAGAATGTTGACTTTATTGTTTTACCAATTAGGGTGCATTCACATTGAAAGAGGGCAAATGGCTTACATGATTTATATGCCATTCCTATGTAAAGGGACGATCAAGAGCAGATTAATGATTATTGATGCAAAAGACGTTTCAACAAATCTCCTTTTCTCATACAGGTTAACTGAATAACTTCAATGTGACTTTCACAAAATGATCAAAGCAGGTTAAAAGGAATTCAATATGTCTTAAACTTTTGAGTTCTTAATGGAGTAGCACTGTTATGGCTGCTAGCTCCAAAACTGTTGGATAAAAGTATTCCTGTGATCACGATCTGCAGGTTGTATCAGAAAAGTGGGGGCAGAGTGTTGGATGCTTACTCAACAGCATAGATTCAAACTGTGCATTTTCTCTACATAAGTGCCATTCTGTGTCTTTTGTCTTTTCCTGTTCTTTAGAAGAGTATAATTCCAGTATCCAGGAAAAGCTGCCTCTAATTATCGGGTCATCTGCAGCAGGAGTCGTCTTTATCATTGCCATGACTGTTGTCATAATTGTTTGTCGCAGGTAAGGTATTATTTCACTGTAGAGCAAATGGGGCAGCAGGGTGTGACCATGTTAAAAAAAAATAAAGTCTGTAGCCAAAAATAAAGTACTGGAGTAGAAACAGATTTTGTCACAAGGGTTTTTTGTTTGTTTAGGTATTCCTGAAAATACCTGGAAAATACAAAGCTTTAATTGCTGTTTCTACACATCCTACTTGGACCTGGAAAGATGTTCTTTTCAGCTGCAAAATTCTTTGCTGCAGTTTTCTACATAATAAGCTATTTTAATGCAAAGCAGTGATGGCTGCATATATTTCTGTAGATGTTAACATTTTGTACAAAGATGTTAATGATTCCAGTCACATCTGCTCCTCTCTTGTGGCAATCAGTAAACCTAATAAATTTACAAGAGGACGTCAGGTAGTGGCCCCACCAAAGTGCCCTTATGATCATGAAGAAGGTCCCTGGTTCAAATCTAGGCCTGCAGTTCTGCATACTTAAACAAACCTGTTATACTTAAAGATCATTCCAGCATTTTTTATCAAATTCACAGTTATTCCTTTGTTTGCTGTACATACACACACTATACACACAAGCATTGCTTCTACCTGCAGACTTTTTAACATAAAACATTTCTTTGTTCGTTCACATCAGGAGGGGTTCAGACAGACCAGAATCGGAGTACTCCGACAAACTCCAACATTACACCAGTGGCCATAGTAAGTGTCTTTAATTTGGTCTGTTGAATTTATGGAATAATTGCCATCTTTAGCAAGATGGGCTCAAGTTTTGGTTTGGTTTGGTGATTTGTGGAAAAGTCTTGATGTTGCTCCTTACTTTGATTTTTTGAACACGTCTATGCTGCTGTTTTATTTCTCTTTGTTGAAGTTTCACCGGGGGTGAAAATCTACATTGACCCCTTCACATATGAAGATCCCAATGAAGCTGTAAGAGAGTTTGCCAAAGAGATCGACACGTCTTGTGTCAAGATAGAGCAAGTGATTGGTGCAGGTAAGAAAACAATGATTTAGAAGGATAATTTAAGAAGAAAGTGGTTTTTATTTAGATTAAACTTTTTTGTTTTATGCTTAAGTTCCTTTCCGTGGTTAGGATCTTTACTATATAAGAGTTTTAGCTGCTGTTGGTAAAGGTTTAATCTATACAAGGGCAAGCTCAAACTAACAAACTTGAAACTTTGAAGCCATTCTTAATTAGAATAAATTAATGTTCAAAAAATTAAGTTCTTGATTTCTTCTCTTAAATAAGGCCAGAAAGGAAAGTAAGCCAGGAACGGTCCAGTGCTTTGTACCAGTAACATATTTAGAGCTGTTACGCAGTTCCGGGAAGACCTGTTTTTTTTGTATCACCAACTTCAGTGCATACTTGTGAGCATGCAGTGGAACTGGTCTGCAGTGTTTCAGTCTCACACACACGTTTTCTATATGTGTGTGGTGATCTTTAAACTCTGAAAAACTTCCTCTGACTATGCTCGTACACAGTAGAGACTGACACAGGAGTGGATTTTCACTCCTGTCCCGCGCCAGTACTGGATTTTTTCTCTTTCTATTTTATTTTATTTTTTGGCATTGATCCTAGTTTTTTTTTTAGTTATTATTGGTTTGCTCCCGCTCCCGTCTGCTCCCGTTAATGTTTAATCCTGTACCATCCCAATCACGTGATCGTTACTAATACTGACTCCAATCCAATGGGAATCCCACGGGAATCCCGTGACCCGTGGGATTCCCGAAAAAATGTCAGTCTCTAGTACACAGTTTTGTCTTTGCACTTACTTAGCTCCATGTTTGCATTTGGATTACAAAATGGTTGGGTACTTGTCAGCTCATTGTTCTCAGCATCATTTTGCGCTCTGCTGTCTTTGCCCTCACAAACTGATTAGGTGTATTTGGCTGAACAACACCATCTGCCAGGAGAAAAAATGCTTCCATCTAACTCAGGATTTTATTTCTTCCAGCTCATGAGAAGTGATGCAACACTATACTTTTTGCCAAATGAATCCTCATCATGTTCAGAATAAATATTGTTATTATCTTACTGTTTATTTTCCCCAATAAATGGACTACAATTTTTATTTACACTGCCAATGTTTTTCTTAAAGGTGAGTTTGGAGAGGTATGTAGCGGAAACCTGAGGCAGCCTGGGAAAAGAGAGATGCTGGTGGCCATCAAGACCCTGAAGGCAGGCTACACTGAACGCCAGAGACGGGACTTCCTGAGTGAGGCATCTATCATGGGCCAATTTGACCATCCCAACATCATCCATCTGGAGGGCGTTGTAACAAAGAGCAGCCCTGTAATGATCATCACAGAGTTTATGGAGAATGGATCCCTTGACTCCTTTCTTAGGGTAAGTCCACCACATTGCCTTCTACAATAAGTATATATATATATATATATATATGATAAGTACCGTAGTTTATTATTATTGTAGTGTGATTTATAACCCTTAAGTTTTAAATTGTGCTTGAATCTTAGCTCTTACCCCACCATCCCATCCCCAGTCTGCCCCGCAAGCAGACAGAAACACTCGTATTGCTATATGCAGTGAGGACCATGAGTTGACTTCCATTGCTTTTCAGGGATTTTTAAACCCCTCTATGCTCTAACTCTGAAAATAACCCTAAACCTAATCATTACTAGTCCATACCTTACCCTAATCCTAATCCAATTGAGACTTTAGACTTAAACCTAACCTTTTGCAAAATGGCTTATGAAGCCCGGCCAAAATATCCTCACTTTGTACAAATGTCCTCACACCACAGGTTAAGGTAAGGTTAAGGTAAGATGGAAACTGGTTCTCACTCTTATTCTAAATAGGAGCACTCACACACACACACACACACACACATGCGCAACATCACACACAAGTCTGTATTTAAACTAACCCTTACTGTTACTAGTTTACTCCTAACTTTGTCCTAAAGTGAATTCACATCATACATCTAAACCAGTGATCCCAGTGCTTTTCACACTGAGCTATCAGAGCTCATTAAAGCAGCTCAGGTGTTCTGATGAAAACAAAGTAAAACAAATTAGTCAAACAAATCGGTCTAACTAAACATTTTGTTCTTCATTTTGTTCCCAATTCCTCAAGTTTAAATGTGATTATAGAGGAGTTACCAGGAGGAGCACCAGCTTTATAAATACAAGTTTATAATATAAGTTTATTTTGTATTTATTTCGATTACTTACTAACTTCCAGGCAACATATTTATGTTGCTTTTTATTTGAGATAGAAAGGATAAATTGCCTAAGAATTGAATGCTCAGATTAAAAGATTAGTTAAAATGTTTTTTATTTCATATTCAAATTTTGTACATTCCACTTTTGCACAATCATCGATACTTTTGACTGAGAGGGGGACTCATGGTAAGACAAAATGCCCAAAGTACTACACAAGTCAAAAAAGGTTGGGAACCACTGATCTAAACTGACGTTGGTCTTTAGAAGGTGATTAAATATGCCAGAAATGGTCCTAAATATGTAACATAAACAAGTACAAACACACAGCCATTTAGGTTATTTGTTTTTTTTTTTTTTTTAAAGAGTGGACCTTGTGAAGCAATCTGACTTAAATACAAAAATGGAACACTACAATTGAATTGACACTATTGGATTTTTCCTTCTTCAAAGCAAAATGATGGGCAGTTCACTGCGATCCAGCTGGTGGGAATGCTTCGTGGAATTGCAGCAGGAATGAAATACCTTTGTGAGATGAACTACGTGCATCGAGACCTTGCTGCAAGAAACATCCTGGTGAACAGCAATCTGGTGTGCAAAGTGTCTGACTTTGGCCTGTCGCGTTTCCTGGAGGATGATACATCTGACCCAACATACACCAGCTCTTTGGTGAGCCCTCCTTTATTATGAATACATTCTCAGCTAGGCACAAATTACTTTTAAACTCTTTGATAAATTGCATTTCAATTTATTTACATAGCATTAAACAAGACATACAAAACCACACAGCATTTAATGCTTACCCTTTGTCTTTTTGTAGGGAGGGAAGATTCCCATTCGCTGGACAGCTCCTGAAGCTATTCAGTACAGGAAGTTCACTTCATCCAGTGACTGCTGGAGTTATGGCATAGTCATGTGGGAGGTGATGTCGTATGGTGAACGACCTTACTGGGACATGAGTAACCAAGATGTAAGTAAGGTCCCGCTGAAGATCAATAGAGAACTTTCATAAACTTGTAATAATTTCAATGAGTTGAAATTGAGATTATTTACTATTGTTCAGTATGACAATTTGATCAAATTTTCCTTGCAAAATACTCAAACAATCTGAACAGCCTTCAATATGCTTTGTAGGTCCTTGGAAGCTCTATTTAGTACTGAAGATGTACCCAATCACCATACAGCAGTACCCATCAGGGTTTGAAATTAACGCCTGCTAACCCACCAAATATGTATCAATATTATCAGTTGAAATTATCACAGCCAATTCAACAAACCACTTCTACATGTTTTTTTATTTTATTTTATTGTAGTCTACAAAAAAAACATCCGACCTAATAATAAAATTGAAATGTGACACTATGACTTTACTACACCCATTAGCACCACCTGCGCAGTGTTTGCTTATTGGTCCATTTGTGACTGACGTCACTCTAGACAGTTGGTTCCTATGGAGAACACAAATGTGAAGCAGTAAGGGTGCTAATGTCGCGGTAAATCTACATTCAAAGTGTCAGAAAAACTTGAGAGCAGACAAAAAGAAAACCTCTCAATGAATAGAACAAAGACGAGACAAAGAAAAAGAAAGGGCTGTGTAATAAAAAGTAGAAGCAATGAGAGAATTTTTGGTTTATGACCTTGGAGACGAAGCCATGAGCTGCACTGACCATTTTTCTTTCTTGTGCAAAATATTTTTTCTACTCTTTGTCTGTAGTACCTCCTCTAAATTAATATTAAAAGAGTTTTTCTTTTCAGTTTTGTCCAGTTTAGTTTTTATATTTTAAATAAATATTTCACTTACCTGCACGACTTTTAATAGGCTGAAAAAAACAAACCTACTTTGCACACTCTATTTTGCAAAATATAAGGAGCTTTACACAGAACCTTATCAGAGTCCAATACTTGATAATGGTCTGCAGCAGTGGCGATTCTAGACCAAATGTACCAGGGGACCAGGAGGGGGCCATTATGTTTTTATGGGGGCACAATCTAGCATGAAATAAAAAACGGGGCAAGTGATTCAAATTTGTTAAGATAGTTGCATGAAGTGAAATTTCTATTGAATTAGTTTTATTTAAAATTCTATGTCTTTTTACGTCAATATACATTCATAATTTAGGAATTCTACATATCTTGGACTTAATTTAAAATGACTGTTCTCTATAAAATCTGAATTAGAACTCAAGAAAATCAGATAAATTCAGCTGTTAAAAATTAGATAATTTTTTTAAATTTGTTTTGAGGCCATAAGAGGGGCCAGGAAAATGATCTTCAGGGGCACTGGCCCCTGTTGGCCCCTGTCTAGAACCACCAATGGACTGCAGTATTAAACATTATGCAGTCTAGATATGTGTGTACAAGTGTAATATGCATTTTGAAAAGTAGTAAATCTAGTTCAGGT